GTTTATATGAGACCCATATAACGACCTATGCAATATATTAAATACTAGTACATGTCACATGTACATGTATTGTATCGTGCGCCATCTACGATGGAATGTATAAAAACCAATGTAACTGTAATGTGTTGCGAATACCTAGTCTATAGAAAAATATTTAAATTTACGGTCATAAGGATTTCGCTAATTTATGAAATATCAGTTCAAAGCGTAGAATATGTAAAGATTAACGCATAATGTAATTCATCACAAATAATCGTTCATAAATTCTACAATATGAAGCATGCAATTTGTTGCACAAAATATGTCTTAAGATTTTTTATTAAATGTTCATCATCATCGATTCCTGTGTTTTCATTATCGACTGCTTAACCTCTGTGGTGTACTGTGTTCGTTATCCTAAGTAGACATTTTTCTGAATAATATACTAGTAGTTTATTGTTTCTAGTGCTTCTTTCACCCGCATGTTTTCCCGTCTTTTCTTTACGAACGCGCCTTTTGAAAGTACATGTAGTTTCTAGTGGATATACTTGATTAAGTTTCCTGTGCTTCGTTTTTTGTGGCGCTCTTTACTTCGCACTGGTCATCTGGCCCCTAAGATATTCGTCTTTCGCTTGTATTACAATCACTACTTTGTGCTCGTCTTCAAGTTGTCGGTTTAGAGCGTTCCTCTCTCCTTAACGTCAGGCAGAAGTAATTTGGGCTCTCCAACCATGTATTACGTATGAAAATGTAGAAGTAGAGATTTAACTCGCTTGGCAGATAACACTTACACTGGAGAGGTACTGGATTCTTATGGTTTTGAATTATAGTGAAATTCTGACGAATACTGTATTTTATGAAATAGTGCTTTAACATGTAAGCAAATATCATATGAAACAAGAATTAAAATAAAATTACTACGGTTGGGCCAGTTACTGTGTATTGACGTGTTTTTCAACACTCCAGAAGTAATCCGCAAGAATTGAAATGAATATATTCGACCTCAGATGTGTTTGCACTTTCATGTCACCACGCCACACTGCCGTAAATAAGTATTAGTCTAGTCAGTTTGCAATCTTTATTAGAATGTTTTGTTTACTATAGTAGAGATATTATGCCATATCTTAATTTGTATACGTTAGTAACATGAGTTAAATTATATATCGTAACCGATGGCGTACAATTTGTCATCGTAAATTATTTCTAAAATCTGGAGTTTAAACAATCACAAAGATTGTTATTTTGCTTCCACATTGTGTTCTCTGAAATTGTTCGAAAATTGTTGCATAATATTTGGCCAATTTTCGCAATATAAGGTCATAAAACAAGCACAAAAATGTAGTTTTATATTGCTATAACTGTCGCTCAACGGTAGTACATAATAACCAATTAATTTATGATCAGCTTTGTTAAGAAATAAATCATTATATTATTAATTTTAATCGTTTTCATTGTGTTTCTAATAGACAGAAGGGTAACCAGAATGCTAATCGCGAGTTTTTTTTTTGTTTTTTTTTTTTAAAACACTATTTCTTGTTAAAACCCCACTATAAATATCGTTATTTTTTACTTCTAGACATCAAGAGGCATCCGTGATATATTCGTGCCATAGGAAACAATAATAAAGTGCTATAAATAGACATAACAGGCTGTTTTCCCTGTGTTTTATTGAACGATTTTCATGAAACTGAGTACGGCGACTCCATATTTTTTATTCATCTTCTTAATCCTTGTTATATGGTATATCAAATACGAAAAAATAAAGAATATGGCAATATTTTACTTTTATGTAGACTGGTAGAGTCTAAATTTGGACATCTTGAGCAACTTCAAGTTGAGTGATCGAAGGTTGAGTGCGCCCTCACTGGCCGTGTTTGATCTTTTTTATCAGTTGCACCACAGTCACTCAACAAATGAATGGTAGTAGTGAGAGAATATTGCATCAACATTTTGGTTAAATGTGTTATGAAATTTCAGCAATGTAAACACACTTTTCCTCAATCTGCTTCATAGGTCTTTGTGCGCTGTACGCAATAGTACGAACTGTTCTGAGTTCGACTTTCCCTGTGAACCTGCGCGATGACCCCGTGTCAATACGCAAACGCAGTTCAGTCATTGATTCATTGGGATGAGACATAGTCAGGGTGAGGTATCATGACAATTACGAATGATCTGCGGGATCGGACTGAAACTCACAGACTTTACATCGAAAATTATCACTTTGAACGGGAAAAGTGAATACAAACTTAACAAAGTCTAGAGATGGCGACTGGTGGCGGGGAAAACACACAAGTGGAGAGAGTTCCGACTCCACCAATACCAGAAGGATGTCAGGTTTTGAGCCACCAGGTGGCCGGACATATGCACGGACATGGCCGAAGTAAAGCAGGTGGGTCAGTATTTGTTTTATGTACCTGGTTAATCAGTTACAGGGGCCAGTTTATATAGACCCGGTAAACAAGTTAAATATGGTATTAGTATTGAGTTGAACTTGCCTTTGAAGGACGGTGGTCGTAGCGACGCGCTCTGTTAGATATTGGCCCATATAACGACTCATAATTTGAAGTTGTTCCCTCAAATTTAAAAAGTCAATACATTTGGGACCCCTCCTGGAAAACATGCTTGATCGAACCAGATTTCATCATTAACTTAAATAGTGGGAAGAAAAAATCCTTTGCTCCTGGAAATTTTATCAAGATCACATAGAATTTAGAAGGCAACAAAATCTCGTGAGATTTGTTTTAGTTTCTCAAATTGTGTTCCATTCACATCATCACATCCGTGGCTCAAATTACCATGGTTACACGGGTAACACAATGACGACAGGGAATACTATCTGAGACTGAAGCAAAATCAAGTCTTGTAGCTCTATTGCTAATAATAAAAACACAGTGAAATTTTGCGTAACTTTGTTTACAATTGAACATATCAATTGGTTCAAAGTTGATCCCAAAAGGGCTGCAGACCCAAACAAGGACGTGTTAATATGACATTTCATTAACATTAATTGTTACAAATAATTAAATAAGTTCCTTAAGCTCCCCTAACTTAAACCCTAATTCTAACACTCCCCCCCCTAATTGTATATGCCCCTCCATACATGTTCTGAAGGGGGGCATATACAACTAAAATAGGGGGAGGAGCACTGGAGAGGCTGGGGAACTCTTGCCCAATTAATAACTCCTTCTTGTTTGCAAAAACAAATTATTACTCGAGCAGCATTTCATGTGATGTATTGACAAATCTGTGCCAGTCTCAACTCTCTTATTGTACATTCTGGTTCACAGTATTATTGTTGTTAGTCAAAGGGTGGTTATAATGATAATACATTGATAAAATGAACACTGATACACCAAGTAAATACAGGGTATCGCATACTATGGTCTAAATATTCAAACTGACAGATAATAGAAATGCTCAAAACCAAACAAAAACTTGAAACTTAAAGCAGGGGAGTTGTCCCCTATGCATTCGTCAGATGCACATAGCGTGTCATTGTTTACAAACAAGCGTCTACCTATGAGCCTTTGAATTTTTAGCATGTTGTTATCGTCGCTTGGAACTCAATTTCCATGCGCAGGTGACTACTCTCCCGCTTTAAAAAGTGTGTGTTACTTCTATTCACATCACTGTTGCACACTTTTATTAAAAACACATGGCAACCATTTACATTTATTTTGACCTCAATTGAACCAGACTATGTATAGTGAATGGCAATTGAGAATTCATAAAGCAATACCAAATATGGAGTGAATATTCTCACTGTATAGATTATCTTCTGCCTTCAAAACATGTGTTATTAAAGTGGTTGGTTACTATTAAATCAGATGACCGAATTATCTTGAATTATCTTAAAAAAGGACTTGTACACAAAACAAAAAAGAAACTGTCACCGATCTACTTTTGAATCATAACACAGATCATCATGGTTTTTTTTAGCAATTTACCATTGATTTCTATGGTAAAAATGTCCTATCAAAATTTCATTCATCTTGTGTATTTATAAAATCTTGTGTATTTATAAGATGGATACTTATGATTTATTTCAACTATTAAGAATTTATTATGTATATCATGTCTATTAATTTTTATCTATATTATTAAAATTATTATTAACCAGCAAATTAAAAACAAAAAAACAAAAACTTGTTATCATGCAAACTGAAAAATAATGTGATGTATTTCTTGACGTATGCGACACATAAAAAATGTAACATGATTCCAACCAGAGATCATGAAACATTTTACCAGTGACGATTTCAACAACTTAAATTCTTTTTACTTGTGACATAAGTGCTTTAAAATAATGCATGTGGATTGTAACATTTCCTCAGTCAATGCAGATAGAATCAGAAAGAGCCATGTTGTTGAAAGGTTGAAAGGTCATTTTTACCATATACGGATGCCATGAGTCACCTGATGCATAAATTAAAGCTTGCAAGAAGTTCTTTTGAGTCAGTTGCATAATTTTGAATTTCTGAAAAACAAAAATACTTACTTTTTGGGGCAGATTTGCTTACTTTCAACGAAGCTCTATCGAGATTGTCATGCTTGTGAAATTCCCCAACTCTAAATAATGAGTAATGACAATCATTTGATAATTACAAGTCCTTCGTATGTCACATACAAGATATCAAACCGTTCATTGCCACAACAACACTTGGAAAACAAATTTTAAAAATAGGGGAAATACCTACAAATGATTGATCCAGTCATGTGATTTGTAACAGTTATAGAGAATTTTGTTTTCTTTCAAGAATTGTTCAAAATACATGAAATACATGATGATGATTACAATAAATCATCATGCAAAGTCAGCCCTAGCTCAGTATCGTAGCAGCCAAGGGACCCAAAACTTGTATTGGTCAAGAGTCCATAGAGTTTCCCTGATATAAAAACTCAAATCATACAACCTCGAATTGACAGAGAATCTAATTTTTTTAGTAATCTATTTTTTTTTACTTGAGTAGAAATGTAAATGTAAAAAATAAATTGCCACGGCAGTTTAGCAATAGAAGTTTTCAGGGCTATTTTTTACTTGTACTCTTTTGCCACCAAAATCAACGTTGTCACCATCGTTACCGGGAAAATAAATTCATATAATTTTTTCCACATTTTTCAGAAATCTTGATCAAGACTTATCGCTAATGGAAAATTTTGTCAATCTGGTCCAAAATTAACAACAATTTTATAGAAAAATTAATAAAAGTTTGTGAAATTTTACACTTAATATTGTCTAGTAGAAACCATTAAATTTTATTTGAAGACAGATATGCTTGATTGAAATTGTATCCTTGTCTATGATTTGATTTGATTAGATTTAATTTCATTTGATGATGGGGATGAATTTAATTCATATATCCATAATTTATTGAGAGTATTCTGTCTCAATGCACCTCATAAAGATAAGTTCCAATCGTCATGCAGTAATCCACTACTCCGTAAAAATACATCATTTAAGACCCGTGTAGAATGACCTTTAAACAATGGAGAGTGATTCTTTTCAAGTCTGGCTTTGTAAGCGACTCCCATAAACGTCAAGTCATATAACTTTATGTCTGCTTTTAAGTTGCTATATAGCTTCATAAGTAGATATGTGTGACTATGAATAATACAGTTGTGATATTCCGCTACTAATATGATTATTCACTATGTATGACGTGAGATTTCATCCAAGAAAGGTCAAAATACAGAAACCGGAAATTCACCACTAAGGATTATCTAGCGAGCAGGTCACATACCTAACATGGACTTCAAAATCGTCACCTAGACAAACAAAAAAATACATTAAAGTTGAGAAAAATAAAAGCAAATAGGTTGCAGGTCTGATAAAGTACTATAAAAAGTGTCTTTTTAGCTAGCACGTTATTTTAGCTAATTTAGCTAATTCGCAATTACAAAAGAGTTTATTCTCACAGTAAGATTATTGCCACTTTAGTTAAATTAAGATTAAGTTAATTCATGCATTGAGTCAAATTCGCTAAAATGGCATGTAGCTATTTAGACATGTTTCACAGTATTTTAGGGGGAAAAATGTTGTTTTTTCGACAGATAACAAACAAAGACAAAATAACAGTACCCCCGTAAGCTTGCGAAGGTTATTAAATCATCATAAACTTGTACACTGATGTGAGTAGTTTATAGTAGTATAAATTGATAAAATTAATCAATTTAAATTCCATTATCTGATGATAAATATATTGCATTCCTGACATTCCTCCATAGTTACTAATTATTAATTATAATTTGATAAAAACATAATAGACATTGACATTATTGAACTACGCGAACAGCTAAGTAAATTTAGAGTAGGGAATCACAATTTAAAAATAGAATCTGGCTGGTACACTAAACCAAAAACACCCGTTGAAAAAAGAACATGTGACCTATGTAGTACAGGAGAAATCAAAGATGAATTCCATCTAATGATGTCATATCCAAAGTACGAACATTGAAGAAAGTCTCTAGTTGAAGATATGACCAAACACATAAATAATTTCAGAAACCAGCCACAGTACACAGATCAATACGGCACAATTTATTAATTAAACACTGCCTTAAAATAAGACAGTAGCACCTCATATGAGGAGTATAATGTTTGTCAGTGAATCTTGTAAATTTGTAATTTGTGGTCCACTCTTTATCTTGCATTGTTAATCATTTTATAGCTACGCTGTCAACTTTGTCGAGCGGAGCTTATCATATGAGTGATTGTCTGTTGGCTTTTTCCGTGTCAATGTTTTACTTTTTCGATTTCGTTTTGAAAACTACAAGTCTGAATGTTTTGATACTTGGTGTATATGTACCTTGGGTAGACCTCTCTCAGATTTGTTCATTTTGTAATGATATCTTTAATTTTCTAATTTTGGTGAATATTTTTGTCATTTTTGGTAAAAAGTGATATTTTCGACTTCTTGTTGAAAACAGCAAGTCCCGTTGTTTCAATAATATACATATTGTACATTTTCTAATGATATCTTCTTTTCTTTAATTGAAATGTGCATTGCTAACAGTGGAGCTATCTCAGCCGAGAGGCTGTTTTTTTTTTTTACAGGTATATCTTGTAGTTTTTAGTGACTTTACTGCTGTACTTTCTAAGTCAGTGTTGTGTCAATAAATAAATAAAATAAAATACTAAATTTTATTACCTCCAACATCGCCATATGCGAGATTTACTCTGGTAATTAGTGTATGTAAATGATAAATGTGTGTGGTCTATTGTTAAGAGGTCACATTGTAATGATCTAGTATACGTGCAATTGTTTTGTGTGCTTCTTTTGGAGATGTGCTTCTAATATTGCAAAAAAAACGATTAGTTTGCACAATATTCAAATGAAATTGTAAATATGGTATCAGTTTTGTAGATTCCTGATTTTTGTGAATCTTGTACCGCTGGTGAGTACGTTTGAATCATGCAATGCACATGTCTTGAGATTTACATCACATGTCATGTCATATGTCATATTCTTATTTGTTATTATTTATATACATGCTGGTCATGTGAATTTGTGCAGAAAATACAAATTGTCAAATGATTTTAAGTATTTATGGTTTTATTGATAGATTTTAATTCTTTTTATCTTCGCAGGAATGCTACAACACCTAGATGGAACCATTTTAAAACCTACGCAATGTCCTCCAAAAGGTCAGCGGGAATTAGATTTTTACACAGAATTGTTTCGTGAGGATCAAGATGAACCTGTTATGTTGTCGCTGCAATACTACGTGCCAAGATTTCGTGGGATTTTCACGACCCCATCCAACCCAGACAGTATCCTTTTATTACCTTTTCTATGACACAGAGCTCACTGTTTGGTGTTCGTCTAACATGTAATCCCTTCTACAAAAAGATTTGTATTCAGACCGCTTTCTTAGTGGGTACATAATTTGAGTTTAGTTGACTTCTTTGACTTTTTTCAATATTTAGTTCATGACCTATAGCAGAGGTACATTACTTGGGGTTTGCAACTCGCATAGTGCTGTATGGTGACATCATGTCAAGATCCCATTCAAGTCTCTTCTCGTAGATAGCGAGACTGAGGCTACGACCTTCTGACATGACGCATATCAATGTTCAAGGTTTGTAATGAAAAAAATAAACTTTTCTTGTCACTATCATAGTGAAAAATGTAATACATCGAAAATATACAGAAAATATAGTTCTCGTAATCCGTCATATCGTAAGCAGCTATTTTGATCCACCTGGACATCCCAGTATCCTAGTTACCTCGGGCATGCGCATTCGCATTTTTTCTGAGTTGGAACGCTTATGCGAGAGCAAGATTGTGACGAGATCTTGGTATCATGTCACCGTAGTTACAAACCCCAAGTAATGTACCTCTGCCTATAGCCAGTGAGTCATTTTGTCAGTTTGCTACTAAATTATCAAAGAAATTTTAAAGAAATACATAACAACAAACAAAATGCACCCACTTTTCAGTGGAAAAAATGATGGCTCATAATTACGTGTCTAGGATGCAAGATTATTAACGCAGAAAAGTAAAATACCGGCAAATATTAACGATAGTTGTATTGTACGCTCTAAGCCGATATGTGATGCATCCTTGATCCACAGAGATTTGTTGTGATGCAATTAGTTATGCTAATTGATGCAACAGGAATTCATACACTGATATAGTGGTTTTGAAAAATATAATTTAGAAAAAATGAAATTCATCAGGGGAAAAATTTATTATGCCTCAAACATAGCCATATGCAGTTTAAATTTTTTTGTATGAAGACCTCTACCCATCAATCAACAAGCTGGACTTGGAATCCAGACAAAATCAGTCCTGGTCGAGGTCACATTGAACTTATTGGTCATCTAATAAAAGATGTTTTATTGAGAAAATAAAAGAAAGAGTTTTCTTTAATTACAATCAGCAATATACATGAAACTGGACGACGCAACTCAGAAGTTCCATAAACCTTGTATAGTAGATGTGAAAATGGGAAGACGCTGTTATGAAGATGGTGCTCCGGTTGAGAAAGTCGAACTTGCCCTCAAGAAATACCCACCAGTCGAACAGGTGGGGTTTCAGATACTTGGCATGAGGGTAAGAGAAAATTTGTGATTTTGATAATAAAATAATAAGATAAAAAAACTTTACACTGCATGTAAATGTATGTAGGAAAATTCAAAGGGCCTTATTCAAATTGTATGCAAATTACTATTATTCAAATCATTGCTTACATTGTGTTCATGCAAACTAAGTTAAAGGGCCTTAATCAAATTGTAGGCTAATTGAGCATTTCGAAAATCAAGTTAAAGGGCTTTATTCAAATTGGATCACTTGCTTAATCAGAATTATATAAATTGTGTGTCGGCTTACAAAGTTAAGGAGTCACAGTTGAATCATGAATAAATTAAGTGGGCCTTAATCATTTTTTTTTCATTTATTGTATAATATTCATTGAATTTCTTGTTGCAGATATATCACCCATCTGTAGACCAATATGTGTTTTATGACAAGACTTATGGTAGGAGCCTAGATGAAGATCAAGTCATTGAAGGTAAAATTAATATGATTTAAAAAATTCAAAAAATTAACAGGATTTCAAAACATTGATTGTTTTGTGAAACTTTCTGTTTTTAGTCCCCGTTCGAATGTAGTCCGTAAACGGGGACTTATGTT